AGGCATTAATTTAAAGACTTAGTACCAATATGTAGAAACACAGAAGTTTCAAATAGTAGCTCTTATTCACCCAAACAAGTATAAGAAGAAGGAAACTTTCTGTTGGTGATGTTAAACACTAGCATGTTGTTGATGAGAACATGAGTCTCATGAACAGAGAAGTGATTAATAGACATTTTGAGTTATGGTACATGTTTTCATGGGTAGTGGGGAAAATTTTCAAAACTATAAAAGTGGGTAGGAATTTTTCTAAGGTTTTATTTGAAAAAATAATGTAAATATTCATTGAAGAAAATAGCAATATATAAATTGCTTATGGCTACAAAGATACTTTCAGTGAAATTGAAGAGTTACAGTTTGCATATATGAAGCTGTTAAAGTCATAGACAATAAGAATCTATCCTGAAATCACAGGTGTGTCCAACCTTTTGACACAGTGACATGAAATTGTCATATACAAAATTATTGTGCAAGAACACACTCAAATTATCAAAAACTGTAATAAAAGTCTCATGTTTATGTAAGTTTATAATTTTTGTGTTGAGACATATTCATAGCTATCTTTGGCAACTTGCAGCCCATGGACTACAACTTGGATAGGTTACAAGCTGTCTGTCCAGGATGGCTTCCGGAAAGAAACACTATTATTTTTCCACAGAAGAACTGATAGATTCTTTGTGCTAAGATGAAATCAACATTTTACAGTAGAGCATTCTGTAGCTATTGAGTACTAAGTATAAGCTATGAATTACATTAAAGTAAAACAGAAATAATAATCACAATCTCAAAACAAAATTCTGATTCCACCACTTGCTAGATGCATCATTATAACATGCAGCCAGACAGTATAATAGTCAGTATATTAAAAAGATAGAATAGTATCTTTATAATAGTGTTATTAAGGATTAATGAAAATGATACATCCATGTAACACAGGAATAGCATGTGTCCTGGGATCTGATAGGCTTCAGTTCACATCCTAATTCTGCCACTTACTAAAGACCTTAGGCACTTGACTTCTCTGAGATTCAGTTTCCTGATTTATAAATGGAGATGACAAAATCTTAACTCAGCACCTGTTGTGATGGTTAAATGAAGTAAGTTATTTAAAGCACTTAGCAGTTTCTGGCATATAGTAAAAGCACTATAAATAATGTTATATTGTTATACAACCAAAGTCAGGAAGATACTTCAATTTTGTCTTTTTATTCATGTTTTCAGGGTGAACCTGGTCTGCCTGGATATCCAGGAAACCCAGGTACCAAAGGTTCTGTGGGAAATACTGGTTTGCCTGGATTGCCAGGCACCCCTGGAGCAAAAGGACAACCAGGCCTGCCTGGATTCCCAGGTAGGTGTTCCTTTTCTTAATGTGTCTTCCTTTCCCTTTCTCTTTCTTTTCTACTCTAGGTGGTATCACATAGCAACCTATTTGGCAGACTTTTATACTGTCTCTTCCATACTGATTAAGAACATAATCTCAGAGCAACTCTTTACCTTTTCCCAAATATCTTTCTGTGTAAGATGAGAATGAGTGTTACCAACTCAGCAGGACAATATCCTGTGGGAAGAGAAACTTGTTTGGTGGAGCATTTTTCAATTTTTGACAGCTAGTCACAAATCAATTAAGAGGCTTTACTGTTTTTGTGGGTGATAATATACTCTTGCTGGCCCTTGCCTGCTGCTGATCCTTTTAGTACATTGTACGCAGGCACACAGCTGGTAGCTGTTGGTAGAACAATCATACTGTTCATTCAAATGACAAGAACTGAGTCATTCAAGCAAAGAGACTTTGCAGCATAGTCAAGTAGATAGCCTGAACTTGATTATTGGACCTGCTTGTTCATGTTTCTATTTTATTTTTAGTTTGGTTTCTGAATTGCACAGTGATATGGATGGATTTTTTGTTACCTTTCTCCTAAACTTTTAATGGAAGTATAATATACGTAAGAGGAATTACACAAATATTCCAAACAATAGATAATTTTCTACCAGTGAATATACATATGAATCCACCATACAAAAATATAAAGTTCATTCATCTCATTACCCATGACACTTCACAGAGCACCTTCCCAACATCTCACCCTAAGATAACCATTACTGTAACTTCTGTCGCCATCAGTTAGTTTTGCCTGTTAGTGAAATTCATGCAAGAGGAATTATGCATTGTATCAGTGTATCGTTGCATCTGATTTATTTCACTCACAATTATGTCTGTAAGATTCATTAATTATGTTGCACATGTCATGTCTGTTCCTTGTCATCGCTGTGTAATAGTCAATTGAAGATTTACCAAAAAAAAGAAAATTTACAATAAATTATGCATGCTCTGGTTGATGGACTTCTGGGTGTTTTCAGGTCAGTACTATTATAAAAATGACATTAACCTTCTTCTGTTCTTCAATATATCTTTCTTGGGTACATGTACTGATTTCTCTTAGACTACTAAAACTTCTGCAGATTTGGAGTTAAAGCTTTCTATCCTTTATATTAATTGCACGTAATGTTAAATATATAGGTAACTTTTTAGTTTAGAAATACTCATTTTTCATGTAGCACAAATCTTTAAATTCCTGTCAAATTTTAAATCTGTGCAGTGAACAGGCTGAGCTGTTTTAAAGGGGAACATCCAGGATGTAAAAGAATATTTTTGAAAGGTTACTTTGAAAATGTGAGGAGAAAAAACAATACATTACTTTGCTAATAATATATACAATCTTCAGCAGGAGCTGGTTTCTGATGTTTCCCCTCTACTCTTAATAAGGAAGCAAGGTTATAGATTTATTTTGTGAAAGGGATTATGTATGGAATTTTAAAATGATTTTGTGTTCTTTTATTCTGAACCCTGAAGTTCTCCTATTGACTAACTTTAAGTATGAGTCTTTTTAAGACTTTATAATTTTCAAGCTGATGTTCACACTTTTTCACGTACAATCAGACTATAATGACTTTTTAAAAACATTTAAAAATGTAATTGTTTTAAAAAACCATAAAATGCAAAGTAGTAATACTAACAAATAATTGTCTAAAACTGAAAACTAAAGTATCAGTAATGCGCATCACAGATAAATGTATTGGGGAGATATGAATTTATGTGTGATTTTTTTCCTAGGAAACAGAAAAAGAGGTTGTAGCTTACTACATTTCTACAGTGCACTGGAGCCTTCTTGAGCACAGTGTACTGTGACTGGATTTATTCCATGGGTCTATGTTCAATTCCCAACCAAGAGTTTGTATACACTAGATGGAATAAAATGTCTTAAAAATTATATTGATGTGCTGTAGATTCTGAAGATAATACTGATGCAAGTATATTAAGAGAATATTGATTTAAGGATGGCCAGTGCTAGAATGTGGATCAAAAACAGTAGCTAAGAAGTTTTTAGTTTATAATAAATAGGACCTTATATGTTTTCGGTCTTAAATTGATTATCTGGACAACTACATTTAAAACAAAAATTTATTTTGTTTTACATGAATAGAACTTTCTATACTAGGGCCAAGTAGTAATCAAATTTAGGACTTTAATTTTCAGTGATAAGTCCTAAAGTTCTTTGTTTAAGAATTTACTTCTAAATTATCTACCCTGTAGTTTTGATCTTTGGAATGCACATAATTGATATATTCATTGTAAATTGGTTAACAATTCATCTTTCTGCCAAATATAAATTTAAGGAAATGTGAAACTGTTTTAAAAAGAACATAAGTCACTTGTGTCATTTGTGTTCTGTACTTAAATTCACCAAATTAGAACTGTAAACACATTTTCCAAAATTAATTTCTAAATGTTTCAAAGCTTGTTATCTGTCTTTTCCCCATAAAACTGATAATGAGCTATGTCAGATTGATTTTTTAAATATGTAACAATAATTTCATTAATATACTTTTCAGAAAGATAAAATGCTTTGATCACATCACTATTTCTCTTATATGTCTGTAGTAGCATACTGAAACAAAGCAAAATATAAGGCATTATTAGTTAAAGCTAATTACTTTTGTCTGTAAGATTTAAATAAAATGTGAGTTGCATAATTTTAGTTGGGTTGTTTCATGAGTAGGGTGCATCCTAGAACAGTATGATATTTTGAATTATTTTAGTTAAATAGTATAATTCAAAAATATATGAATTATTCAAAAAATTTTTAAAAGACCGCATAGTATATTCGTTGAAACCACAGGGTAGGTATACATTTAAGTTTAGGAGATGATACCAGGTTTCCAAAATGGTTTTATAAGTTGCAATCCTACCAGCAATGTACAGTACATCAATACATCCATTTTCCCATATCCATTACTAGGTATTCTCAGTCTTTTTAATTTTTATCTACCTTAGTGGTCATATAAAAATACCTTATTTTTAAACTTTAGTTTTATTTTATGTGTATAAGTGTTTTGCCTGCATATATGTTAAGTGCACCATAGGTGTCACGCCCACAGAAGCCAGAAGGGGGCATCGGATCCCCTGGAACTGGAGTTAAGCATGGATAGATACCATGTAGGTGCTGGCAAATGAGTCCAGGTCCTCTACAAAAGTATCCAGTGCTCTTAACTGCTGATCCATCTCTCCAGCCCCAGAATACCAATACCTTCTTGAGGTTTTTATTCATTAACTCATTTCCTTAATGACTAAAAATAAAAACATTAACATTGAAATCTACTTGATGACATTATATCCATGCTCAGGTGCCAAGGATCTCAGAAAGTAACCTACTGTGACTAGTAATAATCAGATACATAGAGATTAGAGACACATGTGCAAACATCTAAGTGTTAGTAGCATTAAAAACGATTTTTTGTATGAAACAGTATATTTTAAAATGAAATAGAGATCTTTTTTAAAGGTTAAAACCTCATTCAATTTTATGCCTTATAGAGTTTATACTGATTTCAATATTGTATAACTGTATTAATTCAACTGTAAACCTAAAAATTTACAGCCAATTTTGAAAGAGATACATGTTAATGCTGTAATGAAATGCTTCTAATCATGCACTTATTAAATAAATAATTGAAAACTGTATTAAATAGCTTTTCATATACTTACTGGCCATTTGACTACCATGTATTTGAAGAACCTCCCCAAGGCTGTTTACTCATTTTTATTGACTTGCTTTCCTCTATTCTTACTGATTCAGAGCAACTCTTCCACATATTTGGGGTATTTGTCTTTTGTCAGATATATATTACAAATCTGACATTTCTAGTTTAGATTTGCCTTTTACTACCTAAATGCTGCCTTACAGATAAGCAAAGTTGTTTACTAAAGTCCAATATATCAATCTTTTGTTTCATGGTTAGTGCTTTTATATACTGTTCAATAAATATTTTTCTACTTGAAGGTATGGAACTATTCAACTATTTTTATAACTTTTAATGTTTTAAACATTCACATTTACATTTATTATCTGTCTTAAAATATTTTTATAGTATAGGATAGCAATCAGTGTTCATTTTTCCATACTACTGTCTATTTTCTACACACCAATTTTTATAGGACACCTAATACATTATTACAGTTACTCCACTGCTAAAAATCAAATGACTGTGAGAGCAGGGGATCTACTTTTGCATGCTGTTTCACTGCTTTATTTACTATTTTTGCTTGAATGCAAAACTGTTTGAATTGTGTGAACTTGTGTTCATCCTAGAAATATAATAGTATAAGTATTGCAGTTTTGTTGTAGTTTTAAAATTCTTATCTTTTCTATTAAAGATCTTTTGCATAAACTTGAGAATCTTTTCATCAATTTCTTTTAGGAAATGCCTTCAAGACGTTTTACTGAAATTAAAATAAATCTGTAGATAACTTTTAACTATAGTTAACATTCCAATTTTTGCATATGTTCTCTCCATTTTTAGGTATTTGACTTGATTCAACAATATGTTTCATTTTCATTTTATAAATCTTAGTCATCTTTTGTTAAATTTATCCCTGAAATTTTGATGACTTCTGGTGGCACTTATAAGTTGCATTGGTTTCCTATTTCATCTTCAAATTTATTTGTTGGAAGTATAAAAAAATAATGAATTTTAGGAATTTAAATTTACAGAGAATTTGTTGATTTCACTGATTAATTCAAAGAATTTGTTTATAGGTATTGTTCTAGTTTGCTTTCAGTTGCTGTGAAAAAACACTCTGACCAGTACCAACTTGGGGAGGAAAGGGTTTATTTGACTTACTTCTCCTGGGTCATAGTTCGTCACTGAGGGAGCCCAAGGTAGGAACTCAGGACAGGAACCTGGAGACAGGAGCAGGAGCACAGGCCATGGAGGAATGCTGCTTACTGGCTTCGTCCTCTGGCCCATGCTTAGCCTGCTTTCTTACGCAACACAGACCCACCTGCCCAG